GCTAGATGTATTGAAAATTATATTGATTTATTACATACCCTATTTGCCTATGTATCGGATTTTTATTATATAACGGTAACGCTAAAGAGTAAGGGATCCTGAAGCATGATATTTAATATTACTTCTAAGATCCCTTAACCCAATAGTATTGATGTTAATATCGTCAATTACAATACTTCTAGAAGTTTCTTCAGTAAATATGAAGAACGAACATTGATTTTTTGCATCCTATTATTTAAGTTATCATTCGAATCTTAATAATTCTCACACTGAGTATAAAATTTACCAGTTCGACCAACAATTTCAATCTTTTCAGCAGCCATAATATCAACTGAGATGCTTTTCAAAACTAGAGAACTATCAAACCTATATTTACCGTATTATCACAAAATAACACCCCGGGACGTTATTTCGAGTGGCTCAATTTAAAGAGAGCTAATAATTAATTTAGCAGAAAAATTTTTTAAACTTCAATATTTATTTAATATAAAGTTTAAAAAAAATCTTCAATCAAGTTAATTATTAACTCTTTTAAATTAAACCATCAAAAATAACGCTCTGGGGCATAATTCTGAGACAATACGGTAATTTCCAAACTGTTTTAATGTGGATGTCTCCACAAGATGGCTATCCAAGCAGTGACTATTGCTACTGTAGTAAACTAAATGTTCCACTGAGTTCATATTGCTGGGTCCATATCACTTCATAGAAGTTTATTTCACAGACACCTTGTTTCACAAACAATCAATTCATAGACAAGTTTATTTTAAAGACAATTAATTTACAGACAGTTTATTTTATAGACAGTTCATTTCATAGACTTTTCATTTTGTAGACAATCTTTAACACTGATTCATAAGTTATTTCTATTAAAGATTATCTACAAAATAAAAAGTCTATGAAATGAACTGTCTGTGAAATGAACTGTCTGTAAATTAATTGTCTTTAAAATAAACTTGTTTATGAGTTGATTGTCTGTGAAACAAGGTGTCTGTGAAATAAACTTCTATGAAGTGATACGGACCCCTCGAGTCATGATTCGAGTTTCGAGTTGACGGGTCCAGTCTCTAGTTTGTAGGGTGTAACTTCTATAAATGAGAGAATATATATTAGTAGAAGGCTTTGAATGATGGTTTGGTTTGCTTATAATACTTATATTTGATCTAGGGCAAATAATGTGTTTAAATAACTAGTATGAAAATTTTTGCTTGAAATCTAGTAGTGTAATAAATGAATAT